ATTCCGGAATTGTTTCTGGAAATGAACTTTTCATGACCCAGAGGCTCCTCCTAACTATAGTCTTTAAAAGTGCAGTTCCTCAACAGAGTTACGCTCTTCTAAACCCATTGACTTCAGTGGACTTAGAAGGGTGTAAGTCTGTTTAGGATTGCACTGTGATTTTAGCTGAGAGCATAGCTTCATGGACTCCAGTTGGAATGACTGTGTGAATTAAATGAATGTATTTTGGGGTCCAGAATCTGGGATCCGTTACAGCTCTGTGCTCATTTTTAGCATAGTAAACCTGCCATAATTACTTTTCTATAACTTATTTGTACCTCTCTTTACCTGTTGTTCACTTTTTCTTAAATTTCAAAACTCACATTTAGCCTTCAAGCAAGCACACAAGGCTTGTAGCCACAATGTAATAAACATGTGCTGAACAAATTAAATATTCACTATATGACTAGTAACCCACAGTAAGTACCAGATGTGCTAACTAACCTCTTAAGCATCAGGTACAAAATAAACAGCCTGCCATCATCCTTGAGCAGTACAGAGAGAGATGTGGAGCTGGGACTAGGAAAGCTGCCTTTGTCCTGGGCTCCTTGGTGCGCTGATGTGTTCTCTGGTTGCTGTGGTCGTGGGTTTGCTGTTGTCATGATGGCCATCTGCCCTTTTTCTTTACAGCAAATAGATGAGATGCTGGCTGGCAGCTTCACAGAAGAGGATGAAGATGCCATTTTAGCAGAATTAGATGCCATCACTCAGGTGAGTGTTCATCCTGCTAACTGCATTTTGAAGTGGTATCTCTTTCATGACATGGGAGGATTCCCCCCCTCATCCCATAGATCTGGCAGCTGATGCAATTCTAGTACAGAGAGATCTTAATTATTGCTGCCTGCTTTTGTTTTCTGAGCCATGAGGGAAGACAGCCTAATCCATTCTTAACAGCATTTTTCTACCTATTATGTTTTGCTTTCCTGATCTAGCTGTCATTCTTGCTGTATCTGAGGAAGTGAGCAGTGACTCATGAAAGTTCATACCCTGTCACAAATTTTGTTAGCCTTTAATGTGCGGCCGGACTTTTGCTCTTTTCTACTGCTACAGACAGACTAACATAGCTACCCATTTTGCTTTCTTAATGTTCGGCTGAAAGCGACCCTTCCAGAGTAGAATCTGCTAGAATAACACATTCACCTAATTCATTATTATGAAATAACAAGTGGGAACACTCAAGGACTTGCGGAAGGCATCTCACATCCCCCTCCACTGCTATTTCCTCTTTGCCTTTCCTGAAAGCCCCTGTAGTCTCTCCCCTTTTCCTGCTTTATTCTCTTGTTTTAGAGTTGCCAACCTCCGGGTGGGGGCTGGAGATCTCCTGGAATCACAACAGATCTCCCAACTAGAGAGATCAGTTCCCCTTAGAGTTGCCAGATCAAGGTTGGGAAAGCCCTCAAGATTTGGAGGTGGAGCCTTGGAGGTCAAGGTTTGTGGAGGGAAGCAAACTCAGTAGGATACAATGCCATAAAGTCCATCCTCCAAAGCAGCCAATTTTTCCAGGGGAATTGATCTCTGTCATCTGGAGAGCAGTTGTAATTCTGGGTGATTTCCAGCCCCCACCTGGAGGTTGGCAACCCTAGTTCCCCTGGAGGAAATGGCTGCTTTGGAGGGTGGAGTCTATGGCATCATAGCCTTCAGAGGTCCCCCCTCCTCATACCCCAGCCCCCCCCCCCGCAGATTTCTAGGATTTTCTTAACCTCTTTCCCGCCTCTCGGCAATCCCCATATCCTCTCCCTGTCTCATTTTCTCCTTCTCAGCCATTCACCAATCTACCTTTTATCTACCTTCCATCTTCAGCTATATTTATTTTTTATTTACTTCATTTGTACCCCACATTTCTCCACAGTGGGGTCCAAAGCAACTTACATTATTCTGTTCTCTGTTTTATCCATATAACAATCCTGTGAGATAGGTTAGGCTGAAAGTATGTGACTGGTCCAAAATCAGCCAGTGAGCTTCCACAGCAAGATGGGGATTTGAACCTGGGTCTCTAAATCTCTAACCATTACACCACACTGGCTTCAATAAGGTGGCTGCTGTTGAATACTAGCAAGGAGCCGCCAGGCCTAGTTCATCATGTAAATCAGGTGGTATCAAGTCACCCAGATGTTGCTTCCAGCCCTAGGGTTGCCATCCTCCAGGGGGGGCCTGAAGACCTCCCAGAATTACAACTGAACTCCAGACAACAGAGGTTTGTCCCCCTGGAGAAAATGACTGCTTTAGAGGGTGGGCTTTGTGGCATTATATTTGACTGAGGCCTCTCCTGTCCTCAGACCCTGCCCTCCTCAGACTCTACACCAAAATGTCCTGGAATTTTCCAACCCAGAGCTAGCCCTAGCCATGCCTGGCCCCATGAGTTCTCCCTCAAAGGCCAAAATACGGCTGGAAAGGGCCCTTCATTTTTACTCATAGAAATGTAGCCTAGAATTAGGGTTCCCAAGTACTTACCACGATCCGGCGGGGAAAACATGCTCCCCAGCCGGACCATTCCTCCCTGTAATGCAGCATGCCGTCGCCAGGAAGTGACGCTGGGCAGCGCTCTGGTAATGGGGCTGAAAACTCGATGGTACCATCAAGTTTCGAGCCCCATTGCCAGAGCGTCGCCCAGCGTCACTTCCTGGCGACGGCATGGTGCGGCGCATCCGTTGTCCCCGCAGGAATGATCCTGCAAAGACGTCTGTGTCCCCCGCCAAATCACGGTAAGTACTTGACAAGCCTGCCTAGAATACTGTGGTTGCCTAACAACAGCCCCTGAGGGAATCCATTGCTTAAACCTATAGGCGCTCCTTTTATCATTTTTGAATTTTTTAAGCCTCCCAGTGTGTTTTTTTAGTCTCCACATTTTCCTGCAAACATAGGGTTTGTAAAAAGATCAGTCTTACCTGTTCACAGCTCCAGTCACTGGATTTAAGTAGTACCCCAAGATATCCTGACCTCACCATTAGAATATAAGATTGCACCTAGTTTCCATTTCTATCCAGGTCACTGTTGATTAACACTTGCAGGTTGGCCGTATGTCATTATGCACTGCTTATACCAGAGAAATTCCAAGCTGCTTTTTCTGAAGGCAGTTCAACTTTTGTGGCAAATGCAGACAGCTGTTTATACAGACCTTTGCTTAGCACTCAGCCTCAGCAGCAAGGGGGAAAGTAAAATAAAGATCACTTCCCAAGACCGACCACGTTTGCAAGTTGCAGCCAGTACATTGACAGAGTCGTTATCTTAATTTACTGTATCTTGATCAGCACAAAAAGGACCCAAAGTAGAGATGTTTGCAAAACAGTAGGATGATTCTTGCTAGAAAATTGGTGAAAATTTAGTAAGCATGCATCACATATGTTCATTGCAGTTTTTAAGAGCGAGACTCCTGCTGGGGAATGTGCTGTAGATCATGGACTTTGCCTGTTTATTGAGAAGCTCATCATCACTGTGATCAGTGGCACTTGCTCCCAAGTCAGTGCAGACGGAATTACAATCATAATTTGCTGACTGGCCAGTTGACCTCTGGAGTGGCCCAGGCTTCAAGATATCCTCCTTGGTCTTCTGAGGAGTTGCTGGAAACTGAGTGGGAGGTGACAGTGTCCCAAGTGACCAAAAAAAGTCCAGCTGAGCATGACCCCAGAGCCCATTTGGGTGCCGATTGTGCAGTTGTGCTGGTGACACAGAAGTACTCCTTTGCCAATGAAATGCCATTAGGGTGAGAAATCCCAGTCGTCCTTTAACCCAGAAGAATTGTGACTTATTTGCAAAGTATGTTGAAGATAAATTCGCTTGCATCGGTGCTGAATTGGATGCTACTTCCATAGAAAGTTCCATACCTGAAGCTAGCTTGGTCTCTGCCTGTTGCATTTGCTTGGGTACATTTAAGTTGGTTTCACTTGTGGAGGCAGGAGGAGTTGGCTTTAGGCCACTGATCAGGCAAGAGGGCTCTCACTTCAGCTCTTGATGACGGCAGTGGCGAAGGGTTTGCAGATGTTAACCAGAGAGCTATGCTGTGATACCTGCCAGGAAGTATCTCTGCTTGTCAGAATCCATTAGTGAAAGCATTGTAAACTGGCCCTGCTGTCTTTCCAGGGCAACATCTCTCTGCCCAGTTGCTTAAGCAGGCAGCCTGGCAAAAAGGATAAATGCTTTAAGAACCTTGTGTAACCTAGAAGCGACTCCTGAGCTCAGCCATATCTCAGCGGGGGGGGGGGGGGGGAGTAGTCCTCCCTATGAATCAAGACGTTAGCTACAGTTTTCTGTTGCAGAATATTAATTCCACAGTGTGCCCTGGCTTCTTCTTACAGGAGCAGATTGATCTTCCAGAAGTTCCCTCAGAGCCCCTCCCAGAAAAGATTCCAGGTAGAGGGGTTTTTTTCCTCTTTCCTTTGCTTTTCTCTGTTGGTGATCTTCCTGCTGCGCAAAGCGGGGTGGGACCTTTTTGGGCTTGTTTGCATCAAACATATCACCAGTGGAGGCTTGGCAGGTGCTGTGCAAAGGTCAAGTATAAAGGATCATCAGTACCCTGATAATGGCCTCCTCACCCCCTTGTGCTTATTGTGTCTTACTGCAGCCATAATAATAATAACAACAATAACAATAATGATAATAATAATTTACGTAACAGTTAAGAGGTTTCAAAGGGCTTCTCATGTTACAGCAACTCTGTACAAGAGGTGGACAAGAGGGGTGGGGTCTTTGAAACCCATTAATTTCAAGGCAGAAGCCAGTTTTGAGCCAGGAACGTCCTGATTTGCAGCTGAGTCCAGTGGCCAGTGCCACTGACTACACCAGCTCTTATTTGGGGGGTCGGGAGACTGCGATGAACGATCCTTTGGGGTGGCTTAAAATTTTATTTTACATAACATGCACACACTTCCTCCTTCTGGTAAAGCATGTAAGGCAGCATTGTGAAGACCCACTAGGGACGTTGTTATGGTGCTGAGTTCATGCAGAATGGGCTTAAGTAGGTGTACAGAAGCAGCTGGACAAGGAGCCATAACCACTTCCCTGCCCCACCCCAATTCTGCAGTGCCATGAAGGTCTATAATTGAGTGTTAATTAATTGCTTCTTCCAGAAGATCCTGTTCTTTGTCTTTAGCCACACACCTGCTGTGTTTGCTTTTAGAAGCAGAATTGCCATGGTAGAGAATGTAAAACTGTGACCTTTAGGAGCCCATTATTTATTTATTTTGTTTATTTATTCTTTAGATTTGTATCCCGCCCTCCCCGAAGGCTCAGGGCGGCTAACAAGGGCATAAATGCCAGATTAAAACAGTAAGAACAGTATAAAAATACAATAATACAACATAGTACAGTTATTTAAAATATCGGTGCTCCAATACTCACTCCGAATCATAAAACCAAGATGGTGTTCTGAAGATGTTATAACAGAACAACAGCAGTATATTTCCCCACAACCCTGTCATCTGCCAGGGACGTCTCGCACCCCCGATGATACCCGCACCAGTGGTGGTAGAGTGCGGTGATGGGAAAAGCGTTGGTGGAATAATGGTGGTGGCGGCTCCTACTCGAAAGCCTGGCGGAAGAGCTCCGTTTTGCAGGCCCTGTGGAACTTCACAAGGTCCCGCAGGGCCCGGATCTCTTCTGGGAGCTCATTCCACCAGGTAGAAGCCGCCACCGAGAACGCCTTGGCCCTGGTCACAGCAAGTTTGATGGTCCTGGGGCCTGGGATATCCAGGAGGTTTTGGCTCCCCGACCGTAGTGCCCTTGGGGGAACATGCGGGGAAAGGCGGTCCCTTAGGTAGGCCAGACCCTGGCCATATAGGGCTTTAAAGGTAAGAACTAGCACTTTGAAGCGAATCCGGTACGCCATTGGCAGCCAGTGCAGCGCTTTCAGCACAGGCCAGATGTGATCCCGTCTAGGGAGACCCATCAGCAGCCTGGTTGCAGCATTCTGCACTAGTTGCAGCTTCCGAATTTGCGACAGAGGCAGCCCCATGTAGAGAGCGTTACAGTAGTCTAGCCTTGAGGTGACCGTCGCATGGATCACTGTGGCCAGGTCATCACGGTCGAGGAAGGGGACCAGCTGCCACGCCAGCCGAAGATGGTAGAAGGCTGACTTGGCAGTGGCTGCTACCTGGGCCTCCACCGTTAAGGAGGAGTCCAGGAGCACCCCCAAACTCCTAACCTCCGACGCCGGCACCAAAGGCGCCCCATCGAAGGTCGGGAGAGGGAGCCCCAACCCCAGACCGATTCGACTCCGCCCCAGGACTTCCGTCTTTGCCGGGTTTAGTTTCAGCCGACTCAGTCTGAGCCAACCAGCCACGGCCTGTATAACGCCCGGTGAAGGTCATCTGGGGTGGAGTCCGACCGGCCGCCCAGCATCAGATAAAGCTGGGTGTCATCTGCATATTGATGACACCCAAGCCCACAACTCCGGGCAATCTGGGCAAGGGGGTGCATGTAGATGTTAAACAACATCGGGGATAGATATGAATCTGCTCTGGTTTCTGAGGTCTTGAGAGAGAAGATTTCCAGGTTTTCTGTTGCATTAAGGCCTAAAAACCTCATGCATGCCCCCTCCCCAAAAGAAACTATGGAAAGGGTAGGTGCTTTGGTGTTTACAGTCATCTGCTCTGTTTAAAAAGACATACTTCGTGACTGATGTCAGAGTCATACACATAAATAACAGAAGTTGTTTCTTATCTGTTCAAATTACATTATGGAAGCTCTCAGTATGATTCATACTTTTGCCTTGAAGGGTAGATATGGGCACCTGCATGCATCGGTACTTTCCACAACAAGGAAACGATTAACCAACGTCCACAGGGAGCTTTCGTTCACACAGGGGAATAATGGCCCTTTTGTACTGTTGCAGTCTCATCCATCTCTGCCTGCAGCAGAATCTCTCACCGCGGCCTCGCCCTCCCTTTAAAAGGGTGGAACCGCAGCGTGGGAGGGCAGGGGCCATGGCTGGTGGTCATCAGTTGAACAGGAAAGCTGCAGGGGGTGCCCCCGCCCAGGCTCAGCCTCTCCTTGGAGATGGGGGCTTTTATTGGCATTGTGCTGAGAAAGCTCATCCTCTTTTCAGCTGATCCGTCTTTAGCCAGCAGAGTTGTTGAACCGTTATCACTGCAGCACCACGAACACATTTATGCTCCATTCCTAGCCTGACACAAACGCGCAGCCATTCAGGAAAATATCCAAGGAAAAATAAAGACATTTTCTTAATGAGACCAAATTCATGGGGATCTGTTTAAGTAGTGGATTGGGAAGTTGTGAGAGCACATGATTGTAGGTTCAAGTTCTATCCATCTCCCCTCCCTACTCCAAGCCCAATTCTTTCCATTGAAGGGAACTTGATAATATGACAGGCCTTTGCCTGGGACCTAGGAGAGCTGAGTTCAAGATACGCATCAATCCAAGGACAACATAAGACATTAGTTAGAGTTGAGAGGATTTTTACTCCCCCAGAGAGAACTAAATGAGGTTAACTTGTTCCTCTTTATGCAACTTTTCCCCTTTTTAGAAACATCGCCCATCAGAGTCAAGCCAAAGACGGAATTGGTGGCAGCGTCTTAACTCCGCTTCCTGGGAGACCACTGCAGGGAATCCGGGAATCCCAGCGTGCCTGGGGGGGTGAGAAGGGCCTCCGTGGTATCCTGCTGGCAGTAGACAGCCATGCTGGAGCAGATTTCCTGCACGGAATGGAAGCTGCAGCTGGTTATTGTTCCTATATCGAGATGAATTTTTTTTGTAGTGCGATCTCTCCTCCTCTTTTGTATACTGGATTAAACAGTGACTCTCAAACCCTTGAAGCCAAATGCTTTCTGCAGAGCAGATTCCAGCTGCAAACCTGCCTCGGATGCCAGCGCAGCCTCTTGCCTGTGCCCTCCTGTTGCCCTTTTGAGCTGAGGCGCTGTGAACAGTTACAAGTTTTTCTGCTATACTACAGAAAGAACTGCTGGGGATGCTCTCGGCTTTTGTCTTGACTCTTTTTCAGTTCTCTGGATTTTTGAGTGGATTCTCTTGGCAGGAATGGATTTCACAAACATCAGGTTGTACCTGTTAGACCTGCTTGCTTGACAGTGGGATGGGAGTATCATTTCTGTGGGTAGTGATTTCTTCTTGTGCTAACCCACTAGTGGAGATACCAGAAGAGCCTCCCAGGTTGAAATTGTGCTTGGGAGGTGAATATGGTTATAGTTCTATGCAGCAGGAAGCAGAGCCAGACTGGGTCTCTAAAAGACAGAAGGACTATTTCCCACTGGGTTGACCTAAAGCACTTGCTAAGAATTCATACCTAAGCATCCCACACAGGAACTGGATCGCGATGGTGGGAACTGTCTGCTGTATCTACTGTTCCTCTGCTTACAAGAGGGAGGAGTCAGGAACATGGCGAGTCAGTGCTACCCACATGGGGCTAAACATCTTCCCCTCCCTTTATTATATAAGACCTGAATTATTCTTTTTTTCTCCTGAATGTTAGAAAGGGCTGGATCCCGGTTAACTCAGTGGTATTGCTGGCTGCTTTCCTTGGATGGTGAAAACTTCACTCCAGGCCACGTGACTTCAGGCACCCTTAATCTCTGGCCTGAGCTACCCTTGCAGTTGGTAACCTCCCGGGCTGTATCCCAAATTCTCTGTCCTTTAGAGCCAGCTGGCATGCACTGATGCTTGTATCCATATTACCTGCTGTGGTTGTGTGGCTTGTGTCTCTGTAGGGGCAGTTACATAGGCCAAAGCTGGGTGAGGGGCGAATGTCCTTGTGGCAATACATACCTTAAGAATAGTAGAGATTCCCACCAGCCAACCTTTTTGCTCCCTGGAGCCCACAGCTTATAGCTGAAAACAGTCCCCGTCCTACCCTGACTGGCACATACAATTCTATCGTCGTGTTCACACAAAAGAAGAGGAGCATAATTGGGCATTTTGGAACGTGATGTATTTGCAGAGGGTTTTCACCCTTTGGGTCTGTTGTTTGAAGGCATCCTAGCTGCGTCCTTCTCCGCTGGCAGCTTCTGTTGTACCAGCCATTGTCTCTAGGGCTCAGCTTCTTAATGCCACATCTGTAGTGTCCCCTTCCCCCAAATACTGTGAGTAATGTTCAGATTGCTAAGCAATGAATTAGATAGATCTCCCTTGAATCCATTGTTTACACTTAAATATCCTCCCTACTTTTATAATGGTGTTGGGTTCACATTGCAGCATTGGTCTTGACACCATTCAGCCAGGCTTAACACCAGAGAGTGAACCAAGAAAAGTAATGTGATTTCTTAAAGAGCTGGTTTGCCTGTTGCTTCCTGCTGTTATATTCATGGTGTCCACCAGGCGGCAATCATGTCCTTGCCTGTTCCATTGCTGTGGATGGGAGACTGTTACTTCTTTATTCCTCCTCCCTTTTGCTCAGCCTCTCGCTCTGGGTTCCTTTTATTTGTTTGTTTTTTAAAGCAAATGGAAAAATGGATGGGAAGGAACATCAGGCTTTCCCCCTAGGAATTATATTAACATTCAGCTCCCTTGTGAGGATCCTTAGCAAGCTCTGTTGGGTCCAGTTAACCACTGAGCCCTGCTGCCTGGGGGAGAGGAAAAAAGTGTTTTTTCTCCTTCACTGCTGATAAGTACAGACAAGGGAAAGCTCTTGCGAAGACTGGTGTTTTCTGGCCCTGTGGGAGACAGCACTGCAGATGAGCAGAAATGCCCTTTGAAAGGAGCCTCCGGAGCTACCAAAATTGCTGACCTCCTCTGATTTCTGGGTGGGTGCTTCTGTGGCTGAAACCAGATTGAATTTGAGCTGCTGTCCTGCCTCCATGAAAGCTCCAGACACTCCAATTTACCTGCGTGAGCAGAACATTTCTCTCTCTCGAACTGAACTGCAAAGGCCAGAGGCAGAAGCAGGTGCGGTACAGGCGATAACAATAAAGTGTTTCTAACACAATCACTGTCTAGGCTCTGTCTTGAACTGTGGAAAAAATGGTGCTATCTTCCTAGGAATCTTGAAGTATTGAAGCAAGGTGGCTCACGTAGGGTGGTTTCTAGGTAGAGAGGCTTACCTCTGGGGAAAGGGTCTTTCAGAGAGAGACATTAATGGCTGTGTCAGATGCAGAGATGATGGCTAATGGCACTTTGCAAACTTAGTATATACGCAAAGGGCGGTGATAACTGGTTGGTTGTTAACCAGCTGCTGTATCACTCCACGGTATTGTTAATAGGCCAGTGAACATAATATCCAGACACTGTAGCATCTGACGTGGCTTTTCAGGAAATCCAACCTGCTGCAGAAAACAGTCCTAGAAGAGGGCATTATTGCCAGTGAGCCTTGACTTTCTGTGCTGTTGGGGGGGGGGGGGCGACTAGGATTTTTTCTTGCATAATCTTGTGCTTCAGATTTAGAACTTTCTGTTCTAAGGAGTTTTGCTTCACAAAGAGCATCCCCCAGTGACTGGTGTCCCTCAAGACATTGCTGAGAAGTTGTCCAGAAGGCAGCAGCATCTCTTCTGGTGTTCCCACTGCTACGTCTTCTGGGAACAGCAGCCTTTAAGCTCCATACGAGTGGTGTCCTTTCTACCCCAGCCAGCCATCCCTTGTGGCCTACACAGTCCTCCTATGGAGGAGTTCCTTCTTTATTTGGTGGGAATTGTGTAACAGCTCCTCTGAAGACTTGCCCTGATACAGTTTCTATGCCAACCCAGCACAGTACAGGGCTGACAGGAGAAAGACGTGAGGAGAGGGGAAATTCCTCTGATGTGGCCAAAAGTGGCGATTTCTGTATTTTATGAGGTAAACACTAACATTGAATCCAAAGGTTGGTTGGGTTAATTAGTGGAACTCGTTGTTGCCAGTGCAAGAGAGTAGAGATTTATGCTGATTTCTCCCTCTGAGTTCCTGAATGGCTGCTTGTAGTGAATGGGACCCTCAAGGGTGAACTGAGGGTTTACAAAAAATCACCCCCGTTCTCACTGGTGGAAACCCATGTTTGGAGTTAAAACCCCACGCCTTCTGTTTCATAAGTGTTTTTTGCTCCTTGTGTTTCAGCATTCTTCTGTCCTGGATAAACATCTGAGGGAGCTATCCAAGGCACCTGCTGTGTTAATAGCAGGAAATGCTACCTGTTCCATCCATCCTCAAGATTTTCCAGAGAAGGTATAATTTCCATCCAAGGAGGATGAAGTGGTGTTTCTTGGAACTAGTAGCAATTTCCTTTCTGCCCTGCATTGCCCAGAGTATAGTGTGGCTAACTTGATCTAACTAAACAGCTGTGTAGAGAAAGTACAGGGGAAATGCTTGTCAAAGGCCATTTCTCCCTTGTAAACACTGCAAGGATTCTGGCCAGAGGCAATAGCAATTTCTGTCTTTTTCAGATCTCATGTGTCCTCTACACTTATATAGTGACTAAGAATAAGGCCCATTGTGGAAATAAATACAATGGGCGCTAGAAAGAGGCTCTGGTAGAGTGCCAAGGCCGTGGGCACTCAGAATCAATTTGCCATAGCAACCTAAGCAGGGAATAATAATGATAATAATAATAATAATAATAATAATAATTCAATTTATTGATCGCTCAGTCCTTGCAGAGCTGCTGGCTTTGAGTGATTCACAGTTACTTATTTCACAAGGGACTAACAATGCTTTATAGGAGTAAGGGAGGACAACACATATAATCTTTACATAGCACACGTTTTGCAGCCGACGGGGATTTGTTCAGTTGCAACTCAGACATGATCCGGACAGCATTTTTCGCACTCGGCTTGACTTGGCTGGATGACACAGAGGGGAACGGATCAATGCCATCTGGAGAGGTAATTCTGAGTGATCTCCAGCCCCCACCTGGAGATTGGCAATGGTGGTTCCCCATTACAGAATGGCTGGTTTGGAGGGCAGAGTCTATTGCATTGTACCTGTCTGAGGCCCCACTCCTCCTCAAACCTCACCCTCTTCAGGCTCCATCTCTCAAATCTCCAGGATTTTCCCATCTGGAGTTGGGAACCCTATCTACTTCCCAGCCAAGCATCAACCTACATTCCCCCCTCATTGATCAGCTTTCCATCTCCCCCCCCACCAGCAGCCCCCACCATGCTCTGAAGCCCTGACTGCCACATATCTGTGGCAGTAATGGGGTGACTGCTGGCACCTTTTCCTATCATTTTTTGCCTTGTGGTATTCTGCTTGTAGTGTGATCTGTCTTTTTTGTGGTGTGGCATGATTGTGTTATTGGGTTTGTTTCTTTTGAAGGGGGAGTTATGTGTTGTGAGTGAGGACATATTTTACCTCAGAATACAGCAGGCCCCATATGCAACTGACAGTTCCAACTGTCTCGGGGG